GGGACAGATGATCCTTATTCATATTAGAATTAGGTTACACAGAAACCCAAGACTTGAGAGCACGGGACTTTTGCAATCTATTCCCATGCCAGTGTTTTGTCCTGCTCCTGTGCATCTTCCCAAAGATAAACATCATGCCTCCTTAAACCCATGGAAACTGGAACATGTTCCTAGTGCCTGGAAGACAAAACATCCTGTTCTATTTCTTGTAAAAAGCAGCATATGCCTTCGGAACCTACAGCAGTAAAAACATTTTTTTACTTTGACAACTTTTCTGGACTTAAGAGATTACTTCTCATTCCAGGACTAGTCTACTGCCAAAATGCATTTCATTAGATAAAGGAAAATAAAAATGTATACTCTCTTCTTCTACCTTCTTCCTGGGAAGAAAGCCGTCCTATTTGTTCCATGGTGACAACTGTGAACTAATTACCATTTCCTCATTTATGTCCAATATTATGATATTGTTTCTAATTCTGCACAAGAAAAAAAAAAAAAAAAAAGAAAGAAAAGAGGAGAAAAAAAGATTGCCAGAGCATTACCACTGTCTCAGTGCTGGAGAGACTTGGTGACTTCCATGAACTGGAAGGTCTGGACAGGAGTACTGATGTGTGAAACCTACCTCTTTCTCACTGGTCCAAGTTCCAAAACTTGGCAGCCCAAACAAAATGAGTTTAATTTTCACTTGACATGGCTGGACAGCTACAGCACAGTGATCTCTGTTGCCAACAACTTCATAACAAAAAAGAATAAAGGAACGAGCTGGACACTGAGATGCAGCTCTGAGCTCCTTTCTGAGTGAGGATTCTCCAGCAGAGCTTTACACGGGGCTATCACTAAACTGGCAAGTGATCTACAAAGGGATGCACCCCAGGAGCAAACACGGGAAGTCAGAGGGGGTTTTCATGGTACCTGTGTGCATTACACATTTTGCACAGCCCCACTTCATTTTCACAGGCATGAAGTCTACTCATGATCATGGCTAACCAACTGATTTCCTGAAAAGCAGGATCTGAACTCACCCTGCTGCAACAGACCTGCCAGGACCACGATTTCAGAGGCCCTGCTGCAGAGCAGCCACTCCTCCTGCAGTGTGAGACACCACTGACATCACTCCTTGTTTTTCAGGCCTGGCTTCAACCCAGCCCCAGAGCGTTCCTGTGATAAACAGCATGGGGAGCAGCCTCACCACCCTGCAGCCCGTCCAGTTCTCCCAGCAGCTGCACCCGTCCTACCAGCAGCCCCTCATGCAGCAGGTCCAGAGCCACATAAACCAGAGCCCCTTCATGGCTACCATGGCCCAGATACAGAACCCTCACGGTAAGAGCGTGAACTCGTTTGCTCAAGCAAAACAAACAAAAGGCTCTGCTCCGGAGCATTTGCTGGTTCTGAAACGTAAGTGCTGTCATTACTGAATTGTTTTTCCTCTTGCATTCACCTCCCTGCCCCTCCACTCCCACTGGCTCACACGCAGGCAGCATGAAGGAAAAGCTCAGCCAAGCTAATGGCACACACAGCTCCAGAACCCACATGGTCTTGTTTTCTTTCGTGCACAGCTCTCTACGGCCCCAAGTCCGAGGTGGCCCAGTACACACACACAGGCCTCTTACCACAGACCATGGTGATAACAGACACCGCCAACCTCAGCGCCCTGACTAACCTGACACCAACTAAACAGGTAACAGCCTCTAGCACATCTGTTTGTTCCCCCGCCTTACCAATGCACCTGCTGGGAGCCCCTTGCTTGTCAGAGTTTTTGGGTGCGTGGTCTGCACCATCCCAGCAGAGCCACCTTTCTCGTCTCCTTGCCTCGCTGGCAGCAGCTGCAGTACTGGAGGTATTAAAGCAAACTGGTCACTGCATCATCAAGGAGAATTTAATCTCCTTGGAAACAGCACCTGCTCGCTCCTTCTAATACTTTTCTCTTGTGCCTGTTAGCAGGGATGCAGAAGCCAGGTACCGCTAACTTTCTTTCCTCTAGGCGTTCACATCTGACTCAGAAACCCACACAGAGTCTGGGATGCACACGCCGGTATCGCAGGCTCCGACGATACATTTGCAGAACCAAGACACAACCATCCAGCACCTGCAGCCCGGCCCTCGCCTCACCTCAAGCCCTGCTGGTAAGAGCCACTACTACCTTTATCCCCACATTGCCTAATTTCTCTTGCCAACGCCATAAAGCCCAGTCCAAAAATGGCACCTGGGGCTCAGCATTCTCTAAGAGGGCTCTCCCAGGGTCTTGGGAAGGGATGGGGGTTGCTGAAAAGGTGGCACAAAGAAATGGTTTTGCGCACGGTCTGTGCGAGCTGTGTAAGGCCAGACCGTGGAAATGGGACCCTTCTTCGTAACTGAGAGAGGAAAATAACCTTATAAAGGCTGACAAAAACAATGTCCATGCACAGCCAGTCCTGCAGGTGGTTTTCAGGGCTGGAGAGCTCAAGTCTCTCATTAAGGGACCCCAGTTGTTATTTGCTCCAAGAGAAGACATTAGCTAGGACATTAAAAACCAAGTCGAATCCTCCAGTCCAAACTCCCTGAGAGCTGCCTCCCACAACACTTTCAAGCTAGCTCAGGACTTGAGCTTGGTATGTAACGGCACACTAAGTAGAAAAAGTAATTATGCCACTATGCCACGAAGTTTTATATGTGCCCATATTTCCAACACAACTGAGAAAGAGACTGCAGTGAGAATTTGTACTTAACTGATGCCTGTGCTTTTAACAGTGTCCTCCAGCAGCCTGGTGCTGTACCAGAGCTCCGACTCCACCAACAGCCACAGCCAGCTGCTGCCATCCTCTCACAACGTCATCGAGACCTTCATCTCCACGCAGATGGCCTCCTCCACTCAGTAACCGACAGCCAGCTCACGGGGACTGCCACGACCAACACACAAGGTGCGACTCCAACTGCGTTTGCCATCTGCCACCACTGCCTTCCGCGGGAAGACCAAGCTGCAGCCGCGCCTCACACAAACCCCTCATTCAGCTGCCTCCAGGGGAGAAGGCAGCACCGGCTCAGAGCAGGAGCTGTGGAACAATGATGCTGGCACTGCTAGAACCCACTGCCCCCCCCCCAAACCCAACCCCACAAGCCAGCCTACAATAGCCAGACATCTCGTGGCTGCCAGAGCCCTGTTAAGATAGGGATCTGACTGCGATACTGCAAAAACACCAGGGCGTGGATGGGACTTGCATCCCGCTCAGCCTTCACGAGGCTGGGCCTGCACAAGCCTGCCAACACCAAACCAAGCCACACAGAAAAGAGCAAAACTGAGCTGCCAACAGAGGAACACTGCCTGTAAAACACTGACCTCCTGTGCTGTAAGGAAACCCAAATGGGAATTACAAGAAATTGTTTAATCTTGGAGGCAAGAGCGAGAACCTGGCTTTCAACTTTGCAATGAAAATCACCCAGAAGCTGAATCAGGAATGGTTTGGCAAAAGCCTGTCGGTACAAGCTGGGGTCACAACCTGTGACTACAAGCCACAAATCCTTTAGTTAACTACAAATCCCAGGCAGTCCCAGCTCAAAATGACCTGTTCTAAAATCATGCTATCCCAGTGGAAATGGCTTGGTTATTATTTTTTTTTGGTATAGCTCTGCTTTGTTTTAAATGCAGAAATTAAAGTTTAACAGCAGCAAGGAGATTCCAGCTCTCTGCATTAACCACATGAACTCTGTCTTGCTGAACCATGGGGGTGTCCTTCTCTATGGGTCCCTGACAATACACAGCATCTGGGGGGGTTCCCATGCTCCACAAGCAGCGGTTCTTTCAGTTGTTCTCTATAATGATGTCAGCTTGGATTGATTTTACAAAATTGTTCATTCTTAGCTTCCTTGTAGACTAGATTCTACAGTTCTTGATAGGTAAATAATTTCCCTGGGGTATATGAGTCTTGCTTGCACTAAGTGAAGGCTTTTAGCCCTTGAAGATCTGCTTATAGAAATAATTAGAGGAGGAATTACATCTTCTCTATTTACTCTGAACCTTTGCATCACTGATACGTCGTTAGCCAGACACAAGAAAAGCCCCAATCAACATGCTTCTGCCACTGTGACAGGAACAGAGCTATTCATTCTGCTGTGAAAGGGACAGAACTCCTTGACAATAAAATATGCCCAAGATTAATAACATTAAGATATAAGGAAGAATTAAAAACAAGAAAATGCCCAGCAGTGAACTCTTCAGATATCATATCTGGAAATTTCAATATTGCAGATGTCCATTAGAGTTTCTATTGTCAAGAGCTTCCTCTTGATACTGTCAAGCATCAGAAATTAGTGGCAGTAATTACATTCCCTGAGGAACTTTATCCTAGAATGGCTTCCTGGTTTCCTATGTGCATTACTTGCAAGTACATTGAGTCAGAAAAAGAGTCATCATAAAACAAGGCAAAAAATAATGTTTCAACCACTATATATTTGAAACCCCATGTGCTAGCTTCAGTATGCTGAAATTTTAACTGGCTATATTTTTTTGTCACATTCATTTTGTTTACAAGCCAATCTTCTAATCAGTCTCTCCATTTTCTGGATGCCAACTGTGTGTTCTTGAGTGAAATACAGCAAGGATTTTACAGTAGCAAAGCAAGCATCTTTGGTTTTCCCATGCTCAAAGAAAAAGAGTTCACTATTTTGACTTCTCTGGTCTGGCTTTTAGGTCCCCTGAATAAGGCCAATGAGTTAGTTACTAAAACCCAACAGTCTTAAAACCAGAAATGGAATATTTATCCAAATAACAGGCTGCTTCCTGAAATACTGGAGCTGAAATACCAAAAGATTAAGAACCATACTGAAAACTACTAAAGCCCACTGTAGTTCAGAGACAAAAGTCATAGTCAACCAAAATGAAGTCTGAAACACGGTGACTAAGATTTAAGTTCTTCCTGTAGCAGTTTCATAGCATTGACCACCAACTAACTGAAAAGCCATCTTCAGCTGTATTTCGTCTTGCTGAAGGAGACATTTGAATGCAACAAAACAAAAAAGCTGCCAAATTAAATAAGATTAACGGTGTAGTAGAATTTAATAAAAAATGCCATAGAAAACACATTTCAAAGGACACAACTTGAACAGAACTACCTATTTGTAACAATCCCAAAATAAGCTCACTGCACACCCTTTGTTTACAGTTGGAATCACCCTGAAGAGGTGCAGACTACAGAGGGATTAGTAACATGGCAGGTTTCAACAGCAGATCGTTATGATGATCACAAGGGAAAAAAAAAGGGGGGGGGGGGGAGCTGACATCTGCCAGGGTGCTTTTGATATACAAGTCTGCCACAGGCCAGAGCTATTCTTAGTAGGCATCTAGGAGCAAGCAAAGAGGAGCTGATCACCTGTTGCCATGTAAACCAAATTCAATTCATCATACACTGTCTCCATGACACGAGACTTGGCTTCAGGACATGAAAGAACAGATCAGGAGGAACACAGCTATGGTTACATCCCTCTGTCACACTAGTCCACGTGCAGTACTTAATCCCTTTGTGTTGGGTCTGCATAAGCAGCAGCACAGATAAACACTGCACTAGGACAATGTTCCCTTCCACGAGGGATGCCAACAACATAGGAAGTCACTTAGATTCTCAAGGCACTGAGCTTTTTGAACAAAGCTCCGCCAATTAGCAACTCTTAGTTTTTATTTTCTGCATTCTTCATCACAATCACCTGTCATTTGCAGAGCAAAACCTTCATTCACTTTTTTTCTTCTTCTTTTTCTTCTTCTTCACAGATCCTGGCAATGCTGCGTTCTCTGTATGATTGCTGTCTTGTCTCTTATGCAGCCCATTTGCAGACAACTGTGGCAAATCTTTGCTGACCTGGTCACACTCCACTGAGTCTATTAATTTCTTTTCAGTCTTGTTCTCCCCCTTAATTTTCTTTTTCTTCTTTTTCTTCTGGCTGTGCTCTACATAACCCTGACTTGAATTCTGGCTGGAATCCTGGGGCAGCACAGGAAAAGCACTTTGCTTCAAAATGTCTGCAGCTGACACAGCAGCCTCCTGGTACCTTTGCCACTCTTCATCACTGTCCAGGTCACTGGAAAGGCAATAAAAGGGAAGGAAATTATGTTATATGCTTGCTTCAAATCAATCCAATGCACAGAGAACACAGTAATCTAAGACCAGAGCACCTGGTAGACATCCAGGGGCTCCAGGACTCCAGTACCCACAGTTAGCGTTTAAATAGTTTGTAACTCCCGCAAAAGTTTCTAGTTCCCCAGTATTAAAAAAAGTAACAAAAGAAGTCCGCTATACTCAAATATCAGAGTCATATAAAACATATTGCTCAGGCTCTTCAGCTTCTTGTTCCCATGGGGGAATCATAGATGCTTCTGGAACGTGGATTAGAACAGCGTTTAGGAGTGAAGCAGCTGACAGCACCTCACCTGGAGCTAGATGGCTGTCTCCTCCTTGAGGCTCGGCTACACTCTGATTTCTCACAGTCTCCCGGGACAGAGGAGGAGAAGAGGCGAAAACCTAAAATATGCATTTAGAAAGGAATTTTAGCCAAGATTAAAAAAAAAAAAAAGTGAGAGCAATCAACAGAAATCTCACTGCTGTTAATGGATAGCTACAGGGTTTAACAAATTATTTGGGACTAACAGTCTGTGAGGACTTAGGGCACAGCAATCAGAACATCAAAGTAACAGCCTCCCATGGTGCTAACAAAATCTGCTGTTGCAAGTGCTCTTTAGGCAGCTGGCACTGAACAGGATCCATCTCACCCGTCACCATTTAACTAACCAGATCACAAAACAGCCACAATGTCTGCATCTAGAACTCACCATCATCTCCACCGTCAGGCTGTTGCACATGAGTCTGTGAAGGTCCTGATGAATCCTTCAAGACAGTGATGAAACTAAACAGAAAACCCCCGTCAGATCTTAGACATTTAGATCTCAGTTTTGTACAAAAAATTAGCTGAAGTTGGGTGGGTGTTTCTAGGAAACAAGCTCAGATGAAGATATTTTTTTTCCTTACTTTTCCCTCAGTATTTCAATTCTCTGCTTTCAAAGCAGACTATGCCTTCTCTCCTTAGCAACACATGCCACAAGAATGACTTAACATTTCTGAAAGGCTACGTTAAACTCCAGGAATTCTAGTTCTCAGGGCAATAGTTACACACATAATAGAGACAGCAGTAGCCCAGTCAGACGCACACTGCCAGCACAACCCTGAACAGAGTATGGCTTTAAGCCACAAAAACAAAGGGAAGATTCTTGTGCTGACCTTTAAATGACCAAAGTGCTAAGGCAGACAAATTCTGCTTTTTCCTCCCACCATACATTTACTGCGGAAGCAAATGGAGACTGGTGGTGCTGCAGAGGTAAGTCTTTAACAGGGGGAGACAAGAGATGGGCCAGGTTAGAATACTGGAAGTTTGCATTAAATACAGGATTGAAAGAAATGAGAAGAGAAACAGCTTCCCCTGCGTATCCAGGTTACGCTCTGATCTGGAATTTTTTACTTTTAGCAAACAAAAGCATCTCTGTACTTTACCCATAGAACAAGCTTTTTTACTATCGCATGCCAATACCTGTCGAGCATTGCCCCCAGTTTCTTTGCAACATGTGCTCTAAACTCCGGTGTGGTCTGCAGCTCATTTCCATCCTCATCATGACCATTCACCTCACGCCTGTTTAAAATAAAAATAGAAACGGGTTATCTCTTCCAAGGGCAATAACATCCGGTGTTCTCACCCAAACAGGAGATAAGGGACTGTAAAGTTTCCCACTCTGTAGGAACTAATTTATGCTTTGTTGCTAGACAAGACTGCTAAGAAAGTTGGAAAATAGCTCAACAGTGACAGTTCAGCTCCCAAGAGTGAACTTCATGTTATTTAGCTCTGACAGTTAGTAATTCAATGATTTTGTAGTTGAAATGGCCTACAAAATAGCCTATAAATTGCCTAACAAAACAAACAAATGATGTCAGGATATCCCTTCTCTGCTGTGTGCTTCCTGTGTACATTGATACAATTCATGTAAATCTTGTCCCATGAGAAAGGATTTTATGAAGTTGCCTGGCTGACAGCTTTCAAAACTGAGCCTGCAGAAATGCTGCAAATGTAGATAGCCCAACATCACCTCCATTGCAAGGCTCCTAACTTTTCCAGCTTACAAATGATTGGCTTTGCAATTGCAATATTTTAAATATGTCTTTCTACATAAAACTCTCTATTTTAAACTTTATTAAGTTGTTAAAAGTAAATATTAATTCCTTAATAGGACATTTCTGACAACTTGAACTAATGCTTTAACTGTCAGCACTCATTTGTTTCCAAGTGGCTCCACGAATGGAAGCGCCACGAGGTGCTTTATTAACGGTAAGTAGCACAAACACAACATAGTTTAGGTTTTTCTCCACAGAAACACAACTCTGAAACAAGAAGCTTAAATACCTTAGGCTCGGCTGCGCAGACTGTAACCGATCTTTTTTAAAGCCACCTGGCAAAGGAAGAAGTAAAGCTTCGTGAGAAAGAGACCCGCGGCCAGGGCCTCCTTACCCCTCCTCCAGACACAGGGGCTGGAGAAACCCCTCGGGAGGGCAGAGGGAAGCCTCCCACCGCCCCGGCCGGGGCAGACCCTTAAGCTCGCCGCCACCCTGGGCGCCGCCGCCGCGCCGGGTGAGCGTAGCCCAGCCTCCGCCAGCCCTCACCGCCCCGCGGCTCCGCTCCCACCGCCGCCTGCTTGGCGCAGTCCCAGGCCGCCTCCCGGAACCGCGCCGCCGCCTCGCCGCCGCTGTCCGAGTCCGAATCCGAGTCCGGGCCCGAGCCACCCCTGGGCGCCGCCATCTTGAGGCGGCTCCGGCCGCGAGGCACGCTGGGGGCTGTAGTCCTGGGGGCTGTAGGCCTGCCGCGCCGCACCTGCCGGCCGCGGGGCATGCTGGGGGCTGTAGTTCTGCAGGGCGCTGCCCGACAAGATGGCGGCGGCAGGCACCTCGCCTCTCCAAAGCCCTTCCCCCGGGAAACAAAGCTCTGAGGCTGTAACTTCACGGCTTCAGAGCTGCTGAACCAGGGCACCCAAAGGGAAGGTTGTGATGGACTGGCGTCCTTATGTGCTGGCAAGCACAGAAACCTTCTACCATTAAGCGCCTGGTAGGACAGCATCTGTCTGCTCTAGGAATTTAGCTTTCAAAAGCAGGTCAGAGAAGGTACTAGGTGTGCAAGGTTCATTAAGATAAATTTCATTAAGATAAGGCAAAAACATCTCATCTCTTTAGTAAAATACAAGTGAAAAACATCTGAGATGTGGGAGAGGAGACGTGCATCTCCTCTGCCTGCACCTTTCACAGCCGCTTCATCCACAAACACGGAATGACAAATTCCACCTGACCTGCACGAAGGCATCAAATCCTTCACTCACAAAGCCTGAAGGCTGCCCGGCAGCTGTTCTGTTCAGTGCTTTCCCAGCTTGGCTTGGTGGCTCTCTCATCCCAGCCCAGCAGTACTCCTTGTGGCGATTTCTTTCTAGCTGTTACAGACACTGGGATTCCTCTCACAGACTGTAACACTATTTCAGCTTGATTATTTTGCTTCACAGATGTCAAAGCACCAGATGCTTCAAAGTATGTTTTACTCAGGCAGATCAGGCAGAGTTCGGTGTGCTTATGGGCCTGGTTTTTGAAATGTGTCAGTTCCCAGAGACAAAAGTACAGGGGGAAAAAACAGATGGAAGCATGTCACATAACAGAAAGAGCTGTATGGTTTCCCACCTTTCTGGTGAGACAGAAAAGTGAAATGAGCAGGAGGTCTTGCAAACTGCTCCTCTGGTTGGACAAGGCAAAAAACTCCAAAACAGAAACCCTTGCATGGAAATTTCAAGGAAGGAATAATATTCCCAAATGTAGTTTAATACTGAATTAAGATACCATTAGGTTGAAACTACAAGTAAAACAAAGAGTTGATGAGAAAAATGCTGATGGGAAGTTCTGTGTCTTTGATTCTTGATATATGCATGACTTTCACAACTATGAGAATGTTTGTGCATAGCACAGATACATAGTGCCATAACCATTGTTTGAGTCTTGTGACTTAGATCATGAAAAAGTGAATACATCAAATTAATTTATTCTCATGCATGCCATGAGAATGAACTGGCAACCAGGCTACAGTTTTTTTTTCCCTACCTCTAACCAATTACTGACTACCAGCTACACTGAAAAACAATACACATAACACCTTTAGAATATACATAAACATTAATGGTATTTATATCCCTATTGTGCAAGTGATATTTAGCTGACTTCTTAGTTTCATCAAGAAAAGTATTCCCTTGCATCGTTTATTATTGCCATTCAATTTAATTCCTTCACCAGTGGGAGTAAATCTGGGTTTACCTACTGTTTTAAATAAGATTAATCGGACAGGAACAGCCTTCTCTGTAAACAAGCTTAACATTTACAGTCTCTTCTTGTAGACCGTCCTTTCCACTCACCCAATCTTATTCACTGTCTATCTCTGGATATTTTCAATTTTAAAAAGAAAATACTCACTAGGAGTGGAACAAGGGTACTGTAAACATGGCATTATAGAAATGCATAATTATATTCCATTTTTTCTGAGACATAAAGGAAAGTATTAAAATGAACACTGGGCATTGTAAGTATTCCCTGGCTATGTCGTCTACAGCAGTAACTGTATTTCTTTACAAATTGCTTTTGTTATCATAAGATATCCGAACAATACAGGCTATTCTTAGCATTGCTCTTACTTCCATGATTAAAACAGCAGAGGAAAAAAAAATCCTCTATTAATACTGAAATTCCTGTGACTGTAGACATACACGGTGACTAGTCTAAGGTGGTCCAAATTTCAGAAGCTCGTCCTTGTTTTAACCAGCATCTGGAGGACACCATTTATACCTCTGGGGCCTCGTTAACTTCTCAGTAATCTGATATTACACTGAGATGCCGAAGTTTTGCTTACGTGCTGAAGTTGTGCCAAGCCATGCTGCTTTACTGTCTTGGTGAAAATGAGTAAGCTTGTCTCATTAGAGAAATTTTCAGACAGTAAATACACTGCTAGTGTGGGTAGTGGAGCTTCACAATGCGTGTCCTAGGACATAACCACTATAATTTTCAGATACTATCTCCATTTGCACCCCAGCTACAAATTTCCCAGTGCAATCCATCACCATGCACGGCAGTTCCAGCAGGGCTGCTGGATGACTGCGCTGTCATGGGTTTTGCCAAGCCTACGTGCTACTGTAAAGTGTACGAAGGCTCAGGACATCTGTTTTTATACTGCTGAACACTTCCCAGCTGGCACGTTCAAACCCACACAAGACCTGTATAGTCACAGGCCATCTCTGTCAGCGGACAAGCCTCAGGCAATATCCTTGGTCTCTTTCTGAAAGGCTCCCTTGGCACTAATCCCCACTTGTTCCCTTGTAAGGCTCACTTCTAGCAGGAGACCTTAGCTCAGGATTCACCCATTTTCTATCAGGTAGAACAAGCAGCACTTCCAAGCTCACAATCTCAGCGTCCTCGGAACTGGTGGGTATGCTCACAGCAGGACCAAAGCCCTCTGGTGGTGCCACCTTGTCTCTGACAACTCTTTCAGACACTAGGCCCCCTCCTCTCCCTCCTCTAAAGCACCTCAGAGCTGTGTAAATACCTTTATAAAGCTCTTTGTTCCCATCCCGGATGTGCTCCTCTGCTCAGATCCTAGCACTGCACACATCTGAATAATGATTCCCCTCAAATCCGCCTCCTTCCTTTCTCTCCCCACCGGTCCAAACGCTGGCTGCGGCTGACGACCTGCACTTCTCGCTCTTTTCAGAAGCGGACAGCTGGACGCTGCCCCCGCAGGCTGCCGAGCTGCAATCAAAAGTAGAACAAAACGTCAGAGCAGAAAGCCGACAGGGAGCCGTGGCGGCTGAGCCCGGGCAGAACGCGGCCCCGCTGATGTGAGACCGGCCCGGGGGAGCTGGGGGAGGTCGGGCAGGCGGCACCAACCGCCCCCTGCCCCCGGGGAGCCCCGGGGGAGCCCCGTGCGGGCGGAACGCGGCCCCGGGGCCCGGCGGGGAGGGGAGGCCGGGCCGGTCCCTTCCGCCGGGGCCGGGCTTCCGGGCGGTCAGGTGACGGCGGCCGCTGGCAGGGGAGCGGCTCCGCGGCTCGGGGGAGCGGCGGGACCCCGGTGAGCGTGGGCCGGGGGCGGAGGGGGCGCGGGGAGGTGCGGGGAGGAGAGCCGGGGGCGGCCCGGAGGGGCCGGGCACGGGCAGCGCCGGGAGGCCGGGGCCGCTCCGCCCGCTTTCAACGAGCGGGGCGGGGGCTCCGGGGGGCTCCGGGGGATAGGGGCAGCCCCGGTGGCGGTGCCGGGGCGCTGCGGGGCAGCCCCGGCGGTGGTCCCGGCGGCCTGCCGTGTGCCGGCCCCGCTGCCTGACCTCCGGCCCTTGCTGCCGCCGTGGCGGTGTGCTGGGCCCGGGGCCACCCGGCGGCGTTTTCTGGCGAAATTCCCGTGCTGGGCGGCTTCCCGAGCCTCCCCGGCCG